CTAATCACATGATATAGGTAGTTATACTTGTTCATATCTGCAATATTCAAAATCCTCAATGGTTTTCATCACTAAAAATTGTACCATCAGGCGTATTGTCGTAAATTTACAAATCTATTCAAATTTATTCTGGTTGGTGGGGGCATGCATTTACATATGAACTTTGACCAGGTCAGGCACCTCTGCCAACTGCGTGCAGTATGAGGCTCTCACGTATGACGAGAACGGAATGCGAATACAGAACGTTTACACTCTACCACATCATAAAACCATGCACACACTGATAATCAGAGTGTAATGCCATCGCCATAAGCACACGGATCTCAAATTTTATTACAAATCTGTGGAGTAACTACGTACACATAGATGAAGAAAATTCAAAATTAGCAACGATCATACATGAAATAGTAGAAACTGCGAACCCTGTAAGCGGCACATAAGCCGTGCTGAAAACAAAACAGGAATAAAAAACCCGAATAATGACGCGACTAAAAACCTCTTGAAATCTGCACCATGCTGGAATGCACCTGAGTGAGGGTGGCGGGTTTCAGCCCTCCGTATGCATGCAATGGAGTTGTACATCTACGTATATGTTTAAACTTCGAAAATACTCGCTTAATTGCTACCTCGGAAATAAAATTGAATGAGTGTAAAAAACAACGTTGATCAATGCTACGTGGCAACGCGTAGACTGACGAAACTCAATTACACACAAGCCACTGTGGTATGCGGGGAGCGCCCACTGGGGACCATGTAAAGATCTATGTGCTGTGCTATTGCGTAGCGTCCGTCTTAAGTTCGACACAACATAATAGTTTGACAAGATTTTACTGCATCAACTATAGGTTATCTATATCTAAATGTTGAATTCTAAATACCCAACTATGTAATACATGTGATCTGTGTATGGCTGCTGTCCCGGGTATTGAAATATATTCTGTTTTGATATGTTAAGCATGTAAAGTAGCTAGAAACAATTTATTCCTGAAGTATTATAATGCTATTATAATGTTAAGAATGCAAAATATCCGAGCGCAATTACATTAATGTATCATGAGACAATATAACAATCTTGGTGAGAGCTTTGCGTGGGGTCATTTTAATGCGGGAAAAGAAGTTCGGTTTGTGACGTATGTATAACAGGTAAAATGAAAAACAATACGAAACACCACTGTTCTACGTCGTACTATGGTGATTCGCACGTTATGCATGTGATATTGGGTAGTGATTATAGTTGTGTTATTATTGAGTTATTGGGAAGTGTAAGAATCACAAAGCCAAGTGTACATTCTGGTGGTGATTGTCAACTTAACCAAACCGAGGACAATAGCTATACTACATAATTTAAAAAGAAACCCTTACTGAAATACAAGAAATTGTCTGTCACAAAGTATATTTCAATTTGTTTCTTGAGAACTAAGCAATATAATGACGTTCCAAATCTGATAAAAACATTCAATCTGAAAACAAGTATGTTGGAAGCAAACCACGATGAATACAATTCGCTCTGATCATCGGGAGAAATAAAATATAAACAAGACAGTCTCAATATTGTTTTCTTCCACATAGACAGATGTGATGGCATCAAAATATATATATTGATGATTATTCGAAAATGGTCGTGATGTGCATGTGTGTGCAGATGTTAGTCGAATAGTTCGTTTGATTTGTAGTAAAATTTCTCTAAGCCTGTCTAATATAATAATGTCCATTATATTATGAAGAACGTTAAACATCCTAATAAGTTTATAGGATTTACTTTTAATGTACAAAAACTCAACGTAGAACAAAATAACTGCAATATTATATATTTAGGCGTGATAAAAATTGAAAAACAGGATCATGCAATCAAAGTCACAATAATATAGTCATGATGCAAGAGTAAAATATATTTTTATATTATATGACCACTAATATGACGTTGTGTTCTACAATGTAAGATATAGAAGTTACATAATGAATAACAAGTGAATCAATGAAGACCGATGCACAAATTGAAACACACCATATGTATATAACTTTATCCTTTAAATATTCTCGGGCAGTCTATTTATTTTACAGACCTTGGTTTCAAATATTTTCTTTATTATATGAAATAATGAAGTTAATTTAATTTGTAATGTATAAGGCAAATGGTATAATTTATTCGTCAAATATTAATAATGGGACAATTACACTGCACTACATGACATAAAATTAGTAAGAGAAATAACCACATGATATACATGAAGCAACGAGCACACCCGATACTTTCTATGTTCAGCGTTTGCAGAAGCAGTAAAATAACTAAAATACTATAGTCGTTTATTAAAACCTCACAACCAACACTTCAAATAAATAAATAAAACATACTTAATTAATTATGTTCTAACACGTGCATATAATTTAAAAATAACACACTCTCTTAATTTAGACATGTTTTTAGATTAACAGGATCGTGGTGCCTTTAAATGCCTTCTATCGGCAGTGCCCTGTTGGTAAAATAAAACGTTATGTATGTCCCATATACACATATATACAGTTGGTGAAATGGAATTGTATACACACACATAAAAACAGTTAATCATTTGATTATGTACATCATTCAACATAACTTAACATAACTTAATTAGAATTAGAATTGCATCAAAGTGCATTTCAATAATCATACCTAAAAAACATGTTAACTTACTCAGCTTCTTGTTGCTTGAAGATAAACCTAAGTAGGTCAATTTTTTTCACAATCGCAATCGTCTGCTTGCAAAAAACATCATTACTCTCTGATGCTATCGAGGAATACAAACAAATTGTAATTATTTGACTCATGTTAGTATAACACATTCTCTAGTGCACATAATATAGTTTACTGTTATGACTGTTTCATTACACTACACAATATTATAATGGTACTAAACACTCATTTGTAATACGAAAGATCTAAATGCTTGTGAATAAAAACTCTTTCTCCTGCCACATGTCTGTTTCGTGATGCGAATAGACGATAATTACTGCTCTTAGCATGGTATATTAACTTACATTGCATTTGTTCATTTATAACAATTGAAAAATAATCAATATCTAAGATGCTAGATAACTTGCTGAGTGTGGTATCCAAAGTGATCTGTAGCAATAATCAGAAGAAGAATTTAGCGTGAAAAATAGTAAAAAGTAAAATACATTGTAAGTGAAATGGTTGTCGGAACCTTAGAAAATACATATAGCAGGACGATGGGAACACTGTAGTGAGGCTTCTGAGTGTTTGTACTGAAATGTCATTCATATGTTCAACATATTTTCATGCAATTGCAAAAATTCGAGAAATACACAAATACATATCATGGTCAATTCAAAATTTAATTTCAAATATTAGTACCTTTTTAAATTGCTTGTAAGTAACACTTGAAACCGGAGTAGACGTGTTCACTTTACCGGCTTTCAACTGGGCGTTCATGTTGCCCATTGTTGCAATACCAATCACTCGACTATAATTAGGAAAGAAAAAAATTAACGAGAACAAACTTCACAGTATGTGGAATTCATTATCATATGTCAGTTGTGTAGATTTTTGATGTGAAAAGGAATAACAATCTGTGACAATCTGTGTAGCACATTCTAATAAGCTTTCTGCTTATTTGACTGATATCTAGTCATGTCAATGTAAAAGTAAGTTGTGCTGGTATGATAAGAATTAAACCACACTTTGGACATAATACTATTTGCCATGTGCCGATGTATATGAGCTGTCTCATCCCTTCACTGGGGAATATCTATGTCCACAAATTTCGAAATAAAAACGATTATTTATCATAAATAAAACAAATAACTAGCAAATCGAACAATTTTAAAAATGCAAATGTTCGAATACAGTAACGAAAAATAATAACAAAATTAAATAGCAACATAATGAGGCCAAAAATTATCATGAATTAGGTAACTCTGTAGATTCAACATGTTATTTTCTAAATTTTCATACAATTATGTTATGTTCAGATGTCATCAAATTAGGTACCACGACAATGGCTTTATGGACACTGTTGGGGTCATGTGCAACGCTTGTAATCAGCAGTATTTTACGTTTCAATTGTTTATTGGCCATAACACTACCATATTCAAAGTTTTGTTTACATAAAACACTAGAACACCATGTCTCTTTTGTAGTAATAACCGACAGGTAAGAGACAAACAACAAATACTTCCAGGTATATTACGTAGTAAATAATTTACATGGTTATTACCACGTAGTGATTGAACAACAAATGAACATGTAGTGAATAACTGCAAACATGGTCACAAATGTTTTTATACAACAGTTAAATAAATGCTTGGTCTACTGAAACAATAGTAAAGGTGACATTAACAATAAAACCTTGCAACAGTTAAATAAATGCTTGGTCTACTGAAACAATAGTAAAGGTGACATTAACAATAACACCTTGCAATTGGAAGGTTAATGAATTTTAATATAGTATCTGCTAACTCAGGGCCGACAACAAATCAAATACCATAAATAATGGTAAAGGCAAACAGTTTTTCTGGAATAATTCAGTTTGATAAAACACAACATGACTAGAGAACACAAGATATAAATCATGTCAAGTTTTTTGAGATGAGTTTGAAATTTATCCTTTAAATATTCCTGGGCAGTCTAATCAAATATTTTGTTTAATAACTGCAATAATGAAGTAAATAGTCATTGTTAATGTATAAGGCAAATAGTATGGTAAATTGCTGATTTGTCTAATGAAGTTAGTTCCAGGGCTTGCATACTTTTCTCTGGAACTGACCCACATCTGAGGACAACCCTCAATTGTGCAAAGTGCCATATATCTGACATGCTTTGACTGATGTTCAAATGTTATATACTCATTTTACATCATGTCATAAACATACAGATATATTAGTTTGACGGCCCAATTCAAAATGGCCGACCGGTAGACAATTTACAGAGCAATATCTCTCTATATGGACAAGTACCCATACCATATTACTATAAACAAAACTATATAATTTAGAATCGATAACCTACTGGGACTGTGTCATGCATGGCTTGTTTACAGTATGTAATCATAGTTCTTCTTACTTTATATACTAAAGGTAATAATTTAATATCTACTCTTGGTCCATCCACTCCAGATAATAGTTGAATAATAAATGCTTTATCAACTCACCCTTTTTCGTCCAATACTGGCATCTGCTCCAATCCTTTCATTTCCATAATGTTGATACAATCATAGCAAGAAAGTGATGCAATTAGTGTGGGTGAGTATACAAGATCTAATGATGACACTTTCATTTCCCGCCATCTATATGGAATAAAAATATAATGCGAATACTATATATACGTAACAAGTAAACTCTGACAACATCAAAACCATGAAGCAAATTGACATTTCTGAAAAAAAAGCGACAAACTCAAAACAAAATTACATAGTCAATTTACAAACAACATAGATACATGGCCTTCCAAGACGTGATACCAAGTGAGCACATTATTAATATTTCACAACAATGATAATACAAGTGCAATTTACGTCGTGAATGCAGTTGGTGAATAATGGTTCTGATCTTCTGCATGTACGTTCTGAATTAGCATATCGATATAGAGCTGTGTTTCTTAACAAGAGTGAGGAACTCAAATAACATGGAAAGTTACGAGATGTAAAGTGTGTAATGATAAGTCGGCATTTAATATATAGATGTATTGTCAATACTAATGCATTTTAATATTGAAAAAAGACAATCTGAGATGCAGTATTCGTGTGTAAAATCCTGTGACTGATGATCCCTGTGGCAAGGTGGTAGCAAGTTTAGAAAAGTGCTCTGGGGGTGATACATCAATGTTAAACCCACGACCACCAAACAGTAACGCACACTGTCGCAGTTATGCCAGCATTTAATTCTATAATTAGCTCACTGATACATTGATTATTGTTGCGGCAGGTTATACTAAACGATACTTAGAATTATTCAACTATGTTTGCATTATATTATGCAGTTGCCATACATGGCTCAGCAGAGAGACTATAACATTTAGATTAATAGTTTAGAACAAACTCACTTCTGGTTTTTTGTTGACACCTGTTTCTCTAAATACTTCCTGTCTATCATCCAGTCATCTGACATGAATGTTGTCCTGGAAATTAACATTGATACATTACTATGCATATGTGTGATTCATGTTGTAGTATCTAATGTTGGATCTGCACAATAAGTTGTTATGCGATGTGCACAAGTGCCCGGATATTTCGAACCTCAATTGGCAGCTAAGAATATTTGATTCATTATTATCACATTGCACAATTATATGATTTGAAACTGATGTGACATATTCATATATTTTAGCAGGTCTACTTTACTTACAAATAGTTTCTGGCAGAGTCTGCTAACATGACAACACAACACTACTACCACCTAAAATACGAAGTCATACATATTTCATTATAATTCATTTAATATCTTTAATACTACTTTGTATAAGTGATAATATTTACATCTTGAACAATTAACATTGAGAGGCTTCAACATTATTGTCGTCACATTAAAACAATTCAATCTGTTTGATTTTGACACAGAGGCACTACAGCGTCAAATGGAATTAACACTTGTGCCTGAGTACACCCCTTTGCACGGTCATGAATTTCATTAAGCTGTTTTAGGCTGTTATCGATCTTTAACTATTACTACAGGTCATAAAATAATCCAAGAATTTCTGATAACTTCATAGTATAGTATATTATATTAATGTCGATTAGAATGTTCTATACATTGCATTAACTTACCACATAGCAAACCTTCTTCGCTTATTAGTCGTCTTGCACAAATGAATGAGTCTTTATTACTGCATTCATACCATTTATCAATTATGGATGTATCCAACGTGGTTGGAATGAATCCACGCTTAAGTCCTTCCACTTCGTTTAATTTACCAGGAATGGCTTCAGACCTTACACCAATTACCTATTATATTACAATATAGAAGTAGTTACCCGGGCCACTGGAGGGTACCGACTTGCCTGATCGTACCAATAAACTAAGCTTAACCCGGGCTTATTTATCTAAGCAAATGTAATGAACAAAGTGAGAATATGTTAACAGTGCCTGTGTAAAAAGAGATGTTTTTTTGCTTTTTGTAATGTCGCAATACTGCATTATTTACGAAATAAGACCAGAAGCGACTTGAATTTTCACAGCGACGATTTTACAACGAATGTGACAGTCTGGGATTACAGTTTGCATAAACAAATGAAAGTATACCTGTTTCAAAGTGTGTGTTTTCATTTGTACATTAACATTACATTCATTGTTTTTATTTTGTTAGTTTGTTTGATTTGTTTCAACCACAGTCATTCGATTATTCACTACGCTTTTCGTTTCGATCAAATTTAATCGCAAAATCGTCTGCCGCCCATAGCATTGACAATTAACTATTACCAGACAGGATAGTTGACCATAAATACAATACTAGTAAGTACTTGGGAAAGAGTTCAATTTGTACCTTCCATCCATAACCCAACCCTAACCCTAACTCTAACCCTACCCCTACCCCTACCCCCCAGGCACTCCCCATTTAATTGTACATGCCCCTCCTAAAGACATATATAGTTATCTAGAGGGGCCATATACAAATGAATTGGGTAACTGGGAGTAAGTGTTAGAGTTAGGGTTAGGAATGGGGGGTACTGTAGCGGGCCAGTAGGTATGTTAATTTATAGACATTGGGACAAGGTTCAACATCTGATGACAATATATAGCTTTGTTACGAGGCCCAGAATGTAAATTTATTATTTTGTGTATACTAGAATAAAACGTACTGAAAATTCAAAATTGCGTACGTATTGGAGGACGTGGCGTGTGTGTTTACAAACGGTGTGAATGTGCGTTTTAATGGTGTGTGTTTTAAAACGACTTGTTTGTTTAAAAATGATTGATGCGTGTATGTATGTACATTACATGTACGTGCATTAAAAAGTATGTGTGTATTTTAAATGGCGAGTGTATTTAAATGACGTGTGTATTTTAAAATTATTTGTGTGTATAAAAACGACGTGTGTTTTTAAAAATGACGTGTGTGTTTTAAATGATGTGTATATTAAAATGACGTGTGTGTTCAAAATGACATGTGTATTTTAAAATAATGTGTGTTTGAAACTGACGTGCGTTTTTAAAATTACGTGTGAGGTCGAATGAAAATTTAGTGTGTGTAAAAAGAAAAAAAACGTGTGCATTAACCTATTTACGCCTGTAGGAGGCGTTATTTTTGAATGATTTATTTTCGTGTGTGTGCAAAAAACGCGTTAATTAAACTTGTTACGCCTATACTTCTTACGCATGTGGAGGGCGCTATCTTAGAATAATTTTTGTTCGTGTATGTGTTAAAAAAATCGCGTGCATTAACCTAGTCTCACCTGTGGAGGAGTCGTCTCAAGCGACCTCCAATACGTACGAAATTTTGAATTATTATTACGTTTTATTTTAGCATACACAAAATAATAAATTTACATTCTGCGTCTCGTACTCAGAAACATAACCATATTATCCTTTTCATGTCAAAAGCATGTATGTTCATCTATCCCGAGTTGTGTTTATAATTGAAAAAATGCATATCCAAATAATTCATTCCGGAAAAAAACTGACGAAAATATCAGGAACCAAAAATATATACGATCAGTACAAAAATTACTACTACATAAACGTTGATTATAATAAATACTACTGCTAAATTACTATATCAATTCTAACCGTTGTCATGTATCCTGCCATTTCAAACACGTTAGCTTTGAAACGAACATGTTTCTGTATCAACCCAAATATAGTGAATATATATATAAATATATATAATTATGAAGAGTAATTATGATATGATATGATATATGGCACACGAATACATGTCAAACACGTGTGGTATCATAGGTTATTTTCATACTGTTGGCTAGACAATTAAATAGCCATTAACCGTTAACAAATGAGCCGTTAACAAATTTAAAATTTCAATTTTTCTGGCGGACTTTATTTAGCGCGATGCAACATATGGTATTGTGATCAATAAATAATATTAATATTTAACAAAATAAATTGTTAGCTGTGATGTAAATGATTTTTGAAAGATGTGATCAGCCCAGTATGGGGAGAGGAAAATCGTGCGCATGCAAAATTTTGATGTTAATTTGTTTAACTTTGATAATGAAGATATGTTAATATTACACTAACCGACTAGTGTTATCTGCATTATTTAGGAATATAAGACAATAACTAATTGATGTTTCATAACTGCATATGACCAATATAATAATAACAGCTTTACTTCATTAAAGTTTCATTTTATATCAAATACAATATAAATGGCGAGTTAGGATGTATAGTATATATCAAATAGTATGATATATGACAGAAAATGGGACGATCTTGACTTGGGTGACCCAAATATGGCACATCAAATAAACCTATATATTGTGTCTACCAAGTTCTGCAAAATAATCCGACGAGTAACGATTAAACCACTGAACCATAGTCAAAGGTTAACATCAGCATTGTAAAACTCAAATGAAGTAGTTAAAAAGTATCACAACGTCAGATTCAATTTGTTTAATATCTGCACAAATTGCCTACCAATAATCCGTTGTATTAATCTCAATTAGCCATGATAGGTCATTCAAGATCTATAGTGGTTACCTAATATACTGAACAATTGTGTTTGATTAAATTGACTACATCCATTGTAACACATAGAAATCATATACATGTGAGTATACAACGACTAAATTTTCTAGTCCGACAATAATTACAAAATATTCATATAATCTTACCTGATTAGTAACAGTTAATATTAAAATAGAGGTAATTTTACTGCCATATAATGTAATTCCATACAGATAAATTCTCACCTTACATTGTGGACATTTTTCCTTCAGTTTTCTTCCCACGCCTGTAATAGTACCGCCTGTACCCGTGCAAGCAATGAACATGTCTAATTTACCTAAAATATAAATATTTACCATCAATATTTTAATCGTGTAGTGTTAGCACAGTGGACTTAGTGTTGGTGGTTAAAAACAAATGTCAGTTATTTAGGCTACATGAATAGAATACAATAAACAACAATTACATACACATATTTAATAAACATTAAAACAAAACGAACACCATTGGTCCTCACCATCACATGCCTGTAAGATTTCTTCAGCTGTCTCATCATAATGGACTAACGGATTCTCAGCATTCCGGAACTGATTTAATATGATGGAATTAGCAATTTCTTTTTGTAGACGATGTGCCACACCAAAATCAGAATCTGGACTATCTAACGTTGTTGTATTTGGTGAACGGACAATCTCCGCACCAAGCGCGTGTAGGATGTTAACCTTGTCCATACTCATGTACTCCGGCATTACAAAAATACATTTATAACCTTTGACACATGCGGCTAATGCAAGACCAATTCCTACAAGCAATGAGGAAAACAAAATTAACTATTATCGACCATTACAATGTGGCCAGTAATTTTCTAAATTCTTTGAAAACAGTGTTACCATTCCTGGTCATGACCTGCGCAAATACAATTAATGTTCATATAAATTAATGTTCACTACCAACTTTATAGCTACATTTTTACTCGATGTTTATAATATTATATATAAAATAAGGATTGTTAAACAACAAATTATTTATTACATTCATGTAAATTGTACCTGTATTCCCTGCTGTTGGTTCAATAATCACATCACCGGGTTTAATTAATCCTTTTTCCTCGGCATCTTCTATCATTCTTCTGCCTATTCTATCTTTTACACTTCCACCGGCATTGAAATATTCACACTTAGCCACTGAAAAACAAAAAACAAAAACATAAGTAAATCGGTAAATCGCGTGTATTATAATGCAACAATACAATAGCAATAACAATCCCGGTATCAACTAATATTGAACACAAGCACTGTTTGTGAACACTTTCATACTTCCATGCAGATACGTTCAAGCAAATACACTTCTATAACAACCTTATACATATTCTGTACTTGATTTGACCACGTTTACTTACATAGTTCACATTTTAGCTTCGCATCTTTATTTAGTTTATTGATTCGCACTATTGGCGTATTTCTTGTTTGACTCAGAATATTTGGCAGTATCTTCTCTTCTGAAGGGGTTCTGTAAAAATAGGATATATATTGTGCATGCACATTGATGACATATCAAGTTATACCAAGAATAATAGAGGGTAGATAAACCTAAACTAATAATCAGTTTTAAAAATAATTCGTTATAAACTATTGAGGTGTATGTTTGCTTTATATTGCAATCCAGAAAAATGTGATACGTGATGAGTTTCTTATAAGCATTCAGTGATCACTACTTAATACAATCTTATGCTTTGTCTGTACACGTTTATGTCCAGACGATATTGGTTTTCCAGTAGATTTCAGTCAAAATGAATCAATTTTCACAACAGTAATAGTCAACAACTTATTATTGCATTATTGCACATATTGTAATGATATTCCAGGGCATGAAGTAATGTTCTCGAGGTTTTAAAATTATATTATTCTCTAGCAGACGACAGTTTTCTGTTCCCATTCAAAGGTACTTTCGATCTTTTAACAAGAAATTGGAAAAGTGTTGTTCATAAATTATTTTTCAAGAATTTAAAGGTATAACCTGATTTCAGTCTCGATATATGTTAACTAACGTATATCTATCTTACCACGGCGTTCAAAAAGGAACAGAATAAAACTAAATAAAAACTGCTCGTATATAAACAGTTGAGAGATAATGTATTTAGCATGCACAAATTCAAATATATATATATCCGAAAATTATCAACAAATGAATAACTTGTCCTGAAATATGAGATTACCATTATGTTTCGTGGAACTTATAATAAAATAAAAGTTCACACATACTCAGTAATTCGACCCACCACAATCAGGGCATATAACGTCAAAAAACTTACATTTGAACATGTCTGTGTGGACTGTTTTTGATATCATTTCCCGTGGCCCATGTACATTTAGATGGAGTATCTGGTGAAAAATTTAACGTGTTTTTGTCATTCTGAGTATCCATTGTGCCAATATATATCTGTTAAACCAAATGAGACTTTGACTAAACTGAAATAAAACAAAATAAAAACATATGTTAGCACAAATTGATGGTATTGAGACAAAAATGCTATCATATAAGAATGCTTCCAAAAAAAACTGTTTATCGCTGAATAAATTTAATATTCAGCTTCAAAACTTGTGTGGCAACACAGGATCAGATCAAATTTTATGCTGTGATACAAAGACATCATTTGGCGCAATGTCGCATAGAAATTATTACTCGATAAGAGAGTGAAACACAATGTCTGCAGTTTTATATTTGATGTTAAATTATAAATTGTTTTCTTGAACAAATGTTGACAGTCTCTTAAACTTGTTTTATTGAATCTATAAAATTACATGACGCTTGTAACGCGAAATTTGGAATCAAGTATGCAAGACGTTTGTGTTAAAGGGTAAATGTTGGCTGAACAGCTGGGTGTTCAAAATCAACTTATTAGCAGAGAAGCCATGTAGTTTAAAAGCCAACTTATAACCAACGAAAAGGCGTACAATTGCCAAAACTCGATTGATTAATTAACAACAGAAATTTCGTTGAACTTTCAAGATCAACTAATTATCAGTCGTCACGGTGGTTGGGTCATAAAAAGTGACCATCAAGCCAGACGACTTGTCGCTGTTCTGAACATTTTCCAAAATAAGAAAGAAAGTTTAGAATGACTTATTAATCAACCAGTAAAAAATATACTTTATATAAAATACTAATATTATTATTATATTATCAGGTAAACGCAAGTTAAATAAACAATTCTCTTCATAAAGAAAACACATGTAGGAATCAACAACTATGAACATTATCTAAGTCTTACAACTATTGCTTAGTTTATGTAACATGTGTGCATGCTTGATATTTCATTCCGTGGTGTTGAATTTTGTTTTTGTGAGTGCCCATATTTTACATTTTATGTAATAATTTTGTGAAATCCTTCATGATAATGAATTTAAACATGTCTTTAGACGAAGTATTTGCAACATAAGGTTTTTATTAAGCTTTTAAGAAGTTTACAAGTATGGAATACGTAATTCTAAGATACTTTTTAGAATAGTTAATATACTTTGCGAGTTTGAATATAATGATTTGAGCGGCATATTTTGTAATGTTTTAAAATCATTCTGTAATAGAACTCGCGCCCGCGAATGTATTACTTGATAATCGCAAACATGTATTCATGATCGACAGAATCATATGTAACTCAATAATATTTTGTAATGATAGATCTTTCCACTTCAGCTAAAGGACAGCTCAAATTTGTTCCAGAGGCATATGTTATCATAATAATATCACGTATGCATATTTAGTTCACATGACGTTACAGTATTATTTAGGATCAACAACTTATATTATTAGGGTACACATATATTAAAGGACTTTTAGAATTAAACGATGTGCTAATTGTTTTTAATAGTGGCAACTACGCAATGCTTAACCGTGAGACACATCCCTGGTAGTCACGTAATCATGCTAACGGGTGTAGCGGCTGGATGCTCGCAGATTACTCTTCCACGCCTTAGAATTCTATGGTAGAGTTGGTAAGATTGTGTTAGAGGAGGAACAGAAGAAGGAGAGAAGGAGGCTGGTGGTTTGGATGAATAAAGCTTTACTATGTAATGAAAGTGTGCTACTTTGGGTCGATCATGTTTCCCTAAAAGGTATGTGTCATCTGCACGCTCGCCTGAGTCTGGGTTTTCTTTGCACATGTGTCATGTATTCTATGATGTGATATGAAACAGTTAAATGATATACTGTTGTCGGTGTTCAGAGAAAAAGTTCACTCAAGTTTTGTGAACTTGCCTGAATAAATTTAAATATTGAACACCTCTTCCGAAACTAAAATATCCTAAGAAAATGATTACGTGTAGATGATTTTCATATTTGAGGTTGCAATGTTGAAAGTGTACCAAATACAGTATTGAGTATTTCCTATTATTTCAAAAACACGGCTATTTGTACAATTGCTTTTTGACTATACTCAATGTGTGGAAAATCAATAATGTTTAATTCTGCAGTCGAATGGTTGGAAGTAGCAATGATATGGCAACAGCCATGCTTAAATGATGTATTCATTTCACATTCGTTCAGAGCGATGTGACTTTTTCACTGTGGTCGTCTTTTTCTACCATTGCGAATCAGCTTTTGCTGCAACTACCAATAACTGCAAAGTATATAGTTGTCTGAGATAATTATCTTTCAAAAAATGAATCTGATAAATATCGGCGCGAGTTTGTTACCATACATGTTTATAGTGAATATTAAGTGGTTTGGTTGGCCAGTGATTAAACTCTAAACATGGAATATCGGATCAGTGGTGGTTTACAACCTAGAAAATTCACACATGACATTAACATTAACATTGATAGTTCATTATTAATTTATTATATTCTAGCATTGCCACTACAAATTAATTACCACTACAAATGAATTTCATGAAAAAGATTATTCACAATAAGCGCTTAACATCAAGGTCCTATATCAGCTGTATAAATACAATGCTCTTTTCAGAAATGAATAAGAAAATACGGTAGTAGTGTGATGTTGAATCAATTCATTGGCATCACATAATATAGGCACTACTCTATGATAATAATAATAGTAATAATGAATTTCATTATTTAAATAAATATAGATTAAAATAGTTTTTCAATGGAAATGTAATCTTTATTATAATTTATGTGTTCTAACATAGATGGCCATAACCGTGCACTCAGTGGCGGATATTAGAGGACCAAACATTCGGACTTCTGTTATTGGTACACTGAAAACACCTCTGACATACAAGACCCTTTCCCTGTAGAATGAATACGACGCGTGTAAAATATATTTATTTCGAATTATTGACACATGGAGACTGCCATAATGATTATTATACCCCATGATGATGACAGCCAATCAGATTCGTGCATTACAGGTAGACATATTCCTGTTTTACCTGCTGACATTTTCGTATACCCCGGTACCCTCCTCCTGTTTAATTTGACATGGAACACGGCAAGCGGCATTATTCATGAAATCACTAGTTTGCCAAGTTTGCTTTCTCTCCTCTTTGACTAACTAATTGACTAGCGAGCTCTTTGAGACATTCGATCTGTAATTTTATAGTCGTGGACTGTGTTTGTATTTGTTACGTAATTTGCGTGTTTTGACAGCATATTTACATATTACTATGTACAGTATATTTGTTCGAAACAAAATGATGTTGACATAAGCCTAACTTCAAACGGTGTGCAGCTCCGTATTCAACTCTAATGTGAACGGGGACCCCATGTGCATATAACTGTGCCCCAGGGAATGTACAGAATGGCTATGTTTGTGCTTCTAATAATTAATTCTTCGTCTAGCTAAAGCTACTAAAATTAGGTTTGTGCAACCATGAAAGTAAAAAAGTCGTCCTTGATAACATCATTCATTGCTCTTGAACTTGTTCAACTTATATATTTGTGTGCATACATGCATTCAGCTCTACGAGGGCGCCCTAGACGATTGCCATGGTTGAGTGCCATAATTTCTGTTTTAAGATTTATTCGGTAAAATAGTAGAGCTCTGAAGATTTTTAAAACTAGTATATCCACCGTTGTTGGGGGTTAACAATTGTACATTGCCACATGCATGTCACTCTACATTTGTTGTTAACATTCCTGTTTCTGTTCTGTCTATATACTCAGTCAAAGTGCATAACTGTAAATCATATGGTTACCAAGTAAACGAAACAATACTTTTGCGTTGTACTCCCCAGAGTCATATAAAACTATGTAATCATGACAAACGCTTACCATTCTATTTCAAAACTCGGGTAAAGTACGACTTTATTCGTGTCGTATATAAGTAACCGTTGGACAGCAAACCTATTAACCTTTATTGAGTGTATTCAACAATTGACGGGTAGGTAAGTCTTCTAAAACTCAGTCGCGTGTTCTCAGTATCGGTATATACCGTCATAGAATAATACACACCAAGGCATTCGATTTTTTCAACTTAGATTCACTGTGAAAATGTATTATAATTAGCAGCGCGTGCACTCTGAGCATGCGCATTTTACTGCATAATAACGTTGTATTAGGCAAGTCTACTATTATTCACAAGGACACTGTAATTTAGATTTATGCTATACACGGTTTTTTAACTTGTCAAATATCGAAACAATTATTGTTCCTTATTTTCAAGAATAATTCAAATCTATCGTCTTATATCTGACCACCATGATGCCGACCTTTGATATACAAGCGTTATCACGACATACGAACATGAAAACAAAATATTTGCGGTGAATGCATTTTACGTGACATTTCAACTACAGGATCCAAACAGATATATCAAGCTGTGTGCTCCGGAACAATGCTGTTTGTACTTACCCAAGATATTTATCACACTTTATCTACTAGACGACAAAGGAAGAACACTTCACAAGCACAGTATTAGCAATTAAATGGGGGGCTGTGTCTAGACGTCATGACCTTTATCACGGCTAGATCACGTGATACATTTTTCAACACTATGATAGTAGGTTTGTGCATTTCAGGGTCTATTTTTGTGAAATGTAAAAGCTTATAACTCACAATAAATTAACGTATAGTGCAGATAAAATTTAAGCTGACATTCAGCACGGTTTATCGAGGCATATACTCTGTTGATTTTTTTATTTGCTATAAATCCAGCAAAATCGATGTTGTATAATTTTTGATTTACCAAGCTAGAAGAAACTAATTTCAACTAATTTGAGAGCAGTATGAGTAATGTAATTGCCTTAAATATCTAAATTATGAATTGAAATAATAATAGCTTGTGTAATAGGCTTTCCGTTGATATTCAATACAATATAGTGAGTGATATAGTATATAATGTGTGCATTTTGAGAGTATTTTATTGGGCTAGTCCTATATAGGACAAGTTTTACAGTCTTTTTTGTTGGTAATGGCTGACAAATGGTTCCGTGAGTACCAAACATATGATGAATGAGCACTTTTATTGCAGGTTTATTTGCCTAACGATTGTTGTTTGAACTGTTATATGTTATACGTCAAACAAAAATGAAACTGACCTCGCATTTAACGGATCGCAACATTAGTCACACAGACACAGGTATAAGGTGGTATTGCATGTAATTTAAACTTATAAGAATAAAATAAATTACAGGATGTAATATGTATAAACGATGATAATTGTGTGTGCACGAACGTAGTTGTACATATTAACAATGAGGGGGAATGCTCACAACATCAATATCCATAAATTGAATAAAAAAATTGGTGGAAATACACAGGTAAATGTGTGTGCGTATGGAAATTTTACTCGTAAATTGGTGCGACTTGCTTGTCTTCAATCATTGTCACATAACGTAATTATTGTACTACGAGTTGCCGCATAGCTCTTCGCAACAATTCTGAGAGACTGCATGCAATGTCGGCCGACAATGTCCGTCTTTTCCAGAGATTAGTTTCTATTTCTACGTGTGATATGCCATGTATCACCACGTGTTACCAGTAGATAGGGCTTGCCATATTGCTACTACAGATCTCACGACAGATCTCAATGTGTTGGAAAACGTTACTGGACTATTTACTAGGCAATTTCATGATACAGACACATATGACACATATCTCGCCTAATTGAGCAGAACGCTCATCATCAGTACAAAAGAAGTACAAAAGGAGATTTTGTCATCTGTCTTTCTTGTGGAGACAACAAACTTCAATGTTATGGAATTCCAGCAACATATTCTCAGATTGCAAAAAGAATGGGATTTGGCTTGACATTTATTTATGGTCTGAGGGTAATTGTATGTCATGTTGACCTGTATTTGATCATACAGGTACAAGAATCAATATATTGGCACAGTTCCTTAGGATTTTGCTAACACCTCTGGCCAGCCCTGTCAGCTCCGCGCTTAGAAGTGAGCATTCCCTAGAAACAAATCGTAAAAGTTCAAGTGTAATTACCGTCGTGTTAGCTGCAAACAAAATTACACAATACGTGTTGATATTTGTAAGTCAAACACTGCCCGCCATCACAGAAGGACAATTATACCCATGATACTAAATACCGTCCCTGCCAGAAACAACACTCTGAATACAATTTATTTCCGAGGTCATAGAGACATTAACCTATGGTATCGCTTAGCCGCCACTAGACTCTTTATCACCCAAGCACGCCCTCTATATGACAACGGGTACATACCCTGCTACCAACCGAGTTTTGAATCAACCTCATCTGTAATGCCAGGCCAGTTAATGTCAGGTGTTATTCCACTCAATGACAAATGGTTCATCAAGCTTTTGTTTACAATAACCAACTCGTAATTTTTCTTTGTTAATATGAAATTACTTGCTTTTTTGTAAACCACAAGCTATTCTTGTAGTTTAGTGAAGACATTCTTTCGTGTGATACGCAGTGATTGACCTTTTATCAATACAGGTGTCAACATGAATACCAAAAAATCCGCTCTCAGTTCAGGTTTTGTGAAGCAACGACTCAATGAAAATCAAGTAAACCTGAGAGCATTTTTGGCTGATACCACGCCTGAATAACTGGACATGTTAGTGAATGGCTTATACGAATAAGGCATTGTTTGTTCGAGTATATTAGCTGTATATATTGGACAAAACGCGGTTCAACCTTCGCATCCATGTGTAATGTTTTTTTGATGTGTTAATATTATATTGTAATATTGTGAGTCAACAATTTTAGAGCGACGTCCAATAAAAAGCAGTGTTTTTGTGATCGTTTTGTTTTTTTGTATTTGGAATGACGCACACCAAAGGAGACTTTTGATGAAATGAAAGAATCTTATGGTGATGATACCTCATCATATGACCTTGTAAAACGCTGTCATCGTGTATTCAAACATGGCCGGAAGTCTGTGGAAACAGCTCCCAGACCTGGTCGTCCTTCTTCTGCCATTGATGAGGCATATGTCCGTCAAGTTGGGCAGCCATTTTAGAAGATCGACGCATTACTGTTAGCCAAATAGCCCAAGAGGTCAAGATTAGTACAGGGAAACTATTATTCATGACCATTTGCATATGTCTGCCAGATGGATTCCCAGATTGCTCACATATTTCCAGCAACATGTCGAGTGCTGGAGATAAATTTGGAGATGTGCCAAGAAGATGAGTCAAAGTTTTTCAAAAGAAACAGGATGAAACTTGGGTACAACACGATGAGATCAAAACCCAGTCAATGCAGTGAAAGCACTTGGACTCACCATCTCTAAAGTGGGCAAGGGTTCAGAATTCTGCTGGCAAGGCCATAATCACAGTCTTCTGTGACCAGGACAGAGTAGTGATGACAGATTTCCTGGCAAAGGGTACCACAATTACAGGAGCGTATTACGCTTCAGTTTTGATGAAATTAAGAGAAGCTATCAAAATCAAGAGGCGGGGCAAGATCAGCAAAGGTATCCTCCTCCTGCATGACAACGCTCCGACCCACAACTCCAAAGTCGCCAGATCAGAAGCACGGGCGTGTGGCTATGAAATCCTCTCGCACCCATACTCTCCTGACTTTGCACCCTCTGATTTTCATCTTTTTCCAGCCATGAGATTGTTTTTTGAAATGAAAGTCTTTCCCAGATAATGCAACCTTGATTTCTGAAGTTACGACGTGGTTGGGGGACCAACCTGGGGTGTTTTACAAAAACTGTGTCCATAGCTGTATCAAACAATGGGAGAAATAACTCTGGATGGTTTCTATGTAGTGAAAGACTAATAACTGTGCCAAGTTTCAGTAATCTCCTGCTATTGGAAATGGGTCAGGGGCATTACTTATTGTACGCCAACCCAATTCAATTTGTTTATTGGGAGACAAAATATTTCTGGCGAAAATATATCATAATGGCACCCTCTCCATAGTTAAGACATGTATATCCCGTAAGTAAACAAATGTTATCACGATGATTATACCGTTAAATCTGGTAATTATTAGAGCATGGCATGAAAAGTGATATTTCTGTCTTGAGCGCGACACAACATATTAGTTTGACAAAAAATTTGCTATGGCTATCATGCATTATCAATTTTCGAACGTAGATTTCAAAATAACCAACTCTGTAATAAAGGTGACCTATGTGTGGCTGCAGATCCGGCTATTGAAATGTATTCTGTTTTAATATGTCCAGCATTTAAAGTAGCTGAACACATTTTCACGGAAGTATTACAATACTAGGGCGAGAAAAATGAACTAATTCTCCAATATTAAAAATGCAAAATAGCTATCATGTCTAGCAAAGTTTGTTATCCTTACTATATCACAATAAGTAAGTCGTATTTGTACGGTGAACACGTTTTCTCTCATTTTTGAATTATTATTTAACATTATCTTTACATATCTGATTGTCTAGTTGACGTATACACCATAATGTTTACATACGAGTCTCCAGACCTTTCAATGATTTTTTTTGTTAATATTGGTTTCATAAAGTTGGATGGATTAGTTCAAAAATAACTCTCAAAAACACTTTTCTTAGAAAAGTAAAATACAGGTGTTTAAAAAAATACAGGTGTTTTATAACATAATGCACATGTTTTTAATAACAGTGTGTTTTCAATTAATGTTTTAATGAAAAACGTGAAAGTACTGCAACGTTTACTATGTTGTGGATACAAAAACCTCTCTTGGGGAGAATTATCGTATTTGGGAGGAGATATTATCCGAGCTCAATATAATATTACGATGTATTCATATGAGACAATATAACAATCTTGGTGCATCCTTTAAGTGTGTTCATTTTGATGAGGGAAAGGGAGTTCGGTCTGTGACGTATGTAGAACAGGTAGAATGAAAAAAGAATACATGAGGAATGAATGATCGCCGATGCACTAATTGACACAGACCATATGAATATAACTTTATCCTTTAAATATCTTCGGGCAGTCTAATTATTTTACAGACGTCAGGTACAATATTTTCTCTATTAATTGAAATAATGAAATAAATTTTCATTGGTAATGTATAAAGCAAATGTTATAATATATACCTCAAATATCTAAATACTGACAATTACACTACATTACACACAATAAAATTAGAGAGAGAAATAACCACATGGAGTTAAATTCAAGGCTCTGCCTCAGAAACTAAAACTAAAATACTGCAGTCGTTTATTACAACCACATAACCAACAGCTTCAAACAAATGAAACAGATTTAGTTAATTATGTACCTAATATTTACATATACTTTAAAATAACACACTCCTTTTATCTAGACACGTTTTAGATTAGCAGGATCGTGTTGCCTCTAATTCTTTTCTATCGGTGGTGTTCTGTTGGTAAATAAAAAAACATAATGTAAATCACAATTGATAAATAAAGTGGCATATAAACAGTTGTTGGAGTGGTATTGTAAGTCAATGCAACATATGATTTAAACATACACTCACATAAAGACAAGAAATAAACATTAACTTAACAGCGTAATCAGAATTACAATTGCATCAAGGTTCACAATCACAGCTAAAAAATACAGTAACTTACTAAGCTTCTTTTTGCTTGAAGATAAACTTAAGCAAGTCAATTTTTTTCACAATCGCTATTATCTGCTTGCAAAAACCATTGTCACTGTCTGGTGCTATCATGAAATACCAACAAATTGTAATTATTGATATGATTTATTGGTCACCTCGATATCAACTTTTGTTAACATAACACATTCTCTTATACACTTAATTTGGTTATGTGTTTTGTCATTACGTTACACAGTATTGCAATGACTATACAGTCATTCATAATACGCATCAACTAAAAATCATTTTCCTGACACATGTCTGTAAACGATAATTACTGTTCTTAGTATGGTATATCAACTTACATTGCTTTTGTTCGATTATAACGATTGAAAAATAATCAATATCTAAAATACTAGATAACTTGCTTAGTGTGGTATCCAAAGTGATCTGTAGCAATAACAATCATAATCAGAAGCAGAATTTAGCGTGAAAAATAGTGAAATAGATTGTATTGGAAATGATTAACGGAGCTTTAGAAATTGCTCACAGGACACATAATTGGACAATAGGGACACTGTAGTGAGACTTGTGAGTGTTCGTTTTGAAATATACATTTCATTCATATGTCCAACATATTCATGCAATTGCAAAAATCAAGAAATGAGAATCAGAGTGATATATCACACATATATCATGGTCATTCCTCTATCATTATTTTTCATAATTTAATTTTGAGTTAATATTAGTACCTTTTTAAATTGTTTGAATACAACACTTGAAACCGCAGTAGATGTGTTCACCTTACCAGCTTTCAACTGGGCGTTTATGTTTCCCAGTGTTGCGATACCAATCACTCTACTAAATAAATGAGAACAAATTGCATAGCATATTCATTTTCAATAGCATATGATAGTTGTGTAGATTATTAGAAGAAATATGACAAACTGTTTACTGAATAGCACATTCTAAAAATATTTCTGCCTATTTGACTCTTATCGACTGAAATCAATGTAAAAGTAAGTGCAGTTGGTAAGGTAAGAATTAAACCACACTTCGTACATCACATTATATGTTCACAAATTGTTTGCTTACCAATGAAAGCGGATATTTATCAACAATGAAACTCACTTCTAACTAATATAGTAACGACAAATATTAACAAAATAAAATCCCAACATAATGAGGATGAGCCAAACGTTATTATAACTTGGATAACTCTGCTAACGTAAGTAATTTCATGAAGCAATGTATATTTTCTTTCTTTTCATACAATCATGTTATGTCTATGTATAATTGCTGTTCAGATGTTAACTACTTAGGTACAATTATATTGGCTCTATAGACAATGTGATATACAAGGTGATATACAACACTGAGAGTCGTCACGTAAGGAGTTTATAAAAATCGAAGTGTGATTTCCAGTCCCAAACTTTCTCTAAACATTTTGATGACAGAGTTGCAACAGCAACCGGACGTTAATTAGACTGATCACATACATCGCCCCAAGGATCTTTTGGAATGGGGACTAAAACATTAGACATAAGCTGATTAGATACAAAACCATAGATCAAAATTGCAGAAAAACAAAGAGATAGCAAAACCTAAAGCCTAGGGATGCATATTGTTAACAAAAACTCGGTACTAACACAATCAATACCCGGAGAAGTTCATGATTTTAACTCTTTTATCATATTCGAAATTTCTACTGGGGAAACTAACATATATGTAGTAAAATCAGAAGTGGGAATTTCAATATTAAAATCCACATCTGTCTTAGTGAGTATAGACTTGTAATGACGTTGCCACATATCTGACACAGCTATGTCACCAGTACAATTTTGTTTTTCGTGAAGAAATTCGTTTCCGATAATCCACAGGGTCATTCTTAAGACTCTCCGAGCCCAAATTAAACATTGTTTTCCAAGATCGGTAATTGGTGCATTGAACAGATATATTGACATAATTCTTAGATCCCATAACATTGCTCCGTCCCGCAGCAGTATCTATCACTTTATATGCCCTTGCACATCCTAGAAACTTGCTGATTGGTTAAATTAGACTGTTCCGGGGCTTGCACATTTGTCACTGGAATTATGAACAGGGATCGCCCTCGATTCCGCAAAGATTAGTCTATCAATGCCGTAGATCTTTTATTTAGAGCATTTAGAGCTACCCAAACACTGCCATTATTAAATGGATGGAATTCAAAAACATCGAGGTTGTTCTAGCTGGTAGACAGCATCTTAATCTGTTTCATCTACTACTGGTAATGCCACCCATCATCATGTACAAGAGCTAATAATTAAACAATACACCCTGGTTTATTTACTCTATATATTCTTAGTTCGTCTTGCATTATCTACTTCAGACAATAATTTAACATATTCTCTTGCTTCACAAACTCAATATAATAGTTGAATAATACGCCCTGTTTACTAAACTCCGGGAAATAATGTAATTACCCACCCTCTTTCGTCCACTACTGACATCTGCTCCAATTCTTTCATTTCCATGATGTTGATACAATCATTACAAGGAAGTGATGCTAATAGTGTGGGTGAGTAGACAAGATCTAATGATGACACTTTCATTTCCCGCCATCTATATGGAATACAAATAATCAACTTTAACAAGTTAACTCTGACAACATAAACATTTTGAAGTAAATTGTTATTCCTGTAAAAAGCGACAAACAACAAACTCAAGACAGCACACCAGTCAATTGACAAAAAAGATACATTGATGCATGGCCTTTCGACAGGTGACACCAGTTGTTTTCAAGCATGTTCTGGCCAGTACACAAACAAGCATCTACAAAAATGCTAAGATTATTATTATACCACAACAATGTCAATACCATTGTATCGTCAATACCAACGACGTCATCAATGCACTTGGTTAATTATAGTTTCGATCATGTACAGGTACCGCTGAATTGGCATATCGATATAAGACTGTGAGGAGCTTGAATAACATATAAAGTTATGGGATAACACACTAAGCAAGTAAAGTGCGTATTGATAAGTCGGCATCGAGTATAGTTGGCTGTTATCCTTACTAATGGATTTTAATATTTGAAAAGGACAATAGGAAATGCTGTATTTCTATGTAAAATTCTGTGACAGATTACCCCTGTGGTAAGATGGTAGCAACTTTAGAAACGCGTCCTGATGGACGACACAACAATAATAAACATACGATCACCAAACAGAAACGCTCGCACACTGTCTTAGTTATGATGTGTGCCTGCATTTCAAATATATTTATAAATAATTTCACACTTACATTGATTATTGTTGTAGCAGAATATACTAAATGATACTTTATTGTTTATGCTTTATTATACACGTATTTGTGCATTATAGTATGCAGATATATGGTATGAGAAAACATATGTGGGTGGCAAGATGACTATAGTATGTTGCCAAATATGGCCAAGCAGGAAGATTATAAAACAGAGATTAGAACAAAACTCACCTCTGGATTTTTGTTGATACCTCTTTCTCCAAATACTTCCTATCTCTCATCCAGTCATCTGATATGAATTTTGTCCTGGAAATTAACACTGGTGAATTACTATGCATATGTGCGAGTATCTCTATGTGTTCATTTTTGTAGCGTCATTCTGTAGTTTCGAATGTTGGATCTGCACAATACGTTATACCAGGGATGCGATGTCCACGATAGTCAAGATCTTTCGAACCCAATTTGGTAACCAAGGAATATTCTATTCATTATTATCACTTTGCACAATAATGGGTTCTGAAACTGGTCTGACATATTCATATATGTTAGCTGCTCTTATACAAAGCTAGCATTCACAACATATCATTCAACGGAAATCTACTTACAAATAGTTTCTGGCAGAGTCTGCTAACATGACAACACAACGTTGTCCAACATTCAATTCCTTAGCAGCCTCTAGAGCGATCGACATAGCTGCACCACTACTACCACCTAAAAGATTAAGACGTACATGTTTCATTTAGGGTCAATTTAATATCTTTAATACTAATTATAAGTGTTAAATGTTGTATCTTATATTAATATGAGCAACCAGCATAGAGAGGATTCAATTATATTAGTGTTGTCATATTATCATGATTTCATTTGTTCGCAATTAACACAGAGGCGCTAAAGCGTGTAGTGGAAATATCACTTGTCTCTGAATACAAACGTTCGCACAACCATGAATTTCAAAAACTTCTTTTAGCCTGTTATCGATCTTGAATTATTATTACAAGTAAGGATCGAGTCCAAGAAAGTCTGATAACCTAATATAGTATTTTAATGTTGATTATTTTTTTTAATAAAAGCAGTTTCTATACATTGCCTTAACGTACCACATAGCAACCCTTCCTCGCTTATTAGTCGTCTTGCACACATGAATGAGTCTTTATTACTGCATTCGTACCATTCATCAATTATAGATGTATCTAAGGTGGTTGGAATGAATCCACGCATCAGTCCTTCCACTTCGTTTAATTTACCAGGAATGGCTTCGGACCTCACACCAATTATCTATTATAATATAACATAGAAGTAGTAACCCGGGCCAATGCTGATATACAGATTTGTCCACCCGTCGAGAGCATTGTCATTAATTTAATGAAATCCACGTTTTATGTACCCAACTCATTAACGAAATTACATTGATGAAATAGATGGAAGCACTAAACGTCGGTATAACTCCCAAGAAAACGTACAAAACTTTAGACAATTTGTATGGACACTGCTGTCACTGGAGAGTCCCAATTTGCCTGGTGGTACCAATAAACTAAGCTTAACCCGGGCTAATTTATCCAAGCCAATGTAATAAACGATGTGCTCAAGTACAGGAAAATGATATTTATTCCGCATTTTATAGTGTCGCAATACTGCATTATTTGCGAAACGAGACCAAAATACTTGAATTTTGACAGCGGCGAATGTCGCAGACCAGGGTTACAGTTTGCATAAACGTATCCATCCAAAGTGTGTTTTTTATTTGTACATTCACAAATAATTCACAAATAATGTTTGATTTTTATTTGACCGCAGGCTTTCCGTTTCAATTCAAAGCAATCGTCAAATTATCTGCCTCTTGTAGCAATGATAATTTACTATTACGCAGACAGGAGAGTTGTCAATAAATTCAATACTATTACGTAACAATAACGTAATTAGCGATATATTTCAACTTGTATTTTGCACAATGTAACTATTCAAATATAATATATTATTTTC